CCCCCCCCCAAAAAAAAAATAATAAAAAAATAAATAAATAAAGCCAACAGTGCACGTTTGATTCCAAATGTAGGACCAAATCGTGTCCAAGTTTGAGTATAGTTTATATTTTTGACGGAATTCTCGTCAGTCACGTTAAAAAATTAGCGACTACCGAAAATAACGGATTCTGTCCTCTCTACATCGGAAAAATTAAAATGCAGGCAGCTGTTGTCTTAACCCGCTATACAAAGTCGTTACAAACGTCGCCTGTTGCTGCCATTAACGGTTTAACATTATTTATTACATTTTTGAGTATTTCAGACGTAAACCTCTGCTTCCAAGATCCCCGTTAATAATGATAATGCTTCGATAATTGCGTCTGGTTGTTTTATGAATGGAGATCTTTCGAATTGATAATGAGGATAATCACTTAAAAGCTTTATAGTTGTCTGGGTCTGTTTTTGTTATCTCATTGCAAGACGTTTTGTCAACATACAACGCAATCCCACTTCGCCTCTCTAACTGATGATGCATTTATTGTGTTTGTAAACGTTGGATTTCGAGCCGCATAATTCACAGCTTTGAGCGGTTTAGGAGATGCACTACCACCACCACCACCACCACTTTTTGTTCTTGTTCTTGTTCTTCTAGTTTTTCTTCTTGTTCTTGTTCTTGTTCTTGTTCTTCTTCTCACATTATTATTATAATAGTAATAATAAATAATAATAATAATAATAATAATAATAATAATAATAATAATAATAATAAAATAATGATAATAATAATTATTATAGGACAGATTGTTTTGTGCCCACGATCTTGAATTAATTTTTGTTTTATCTTTTAATGGACATGATAGTCGTATTAGCTGCCGTCGGCGCATATGGCGTAGCAGTAAGTCCCTTTTAAAATCTTCCCTCTCACACAGGAGACGTGAGTTCCATTGGCGTATGGGGAACATTTTTATCAATGTCTCCGTCTTTTTACCCGGACGTTGTATCGTGAGAGGCAGGGTCGAAGTAGCCCTTCCCCTAAATGATCTAAATTGTGTTGATGGGGGCGTGAAACTTTTACAATTGTATACAAGACATATTGTTTGTTTTGTTCTGTACCATTATTTTCTCAATGATCAGTGTTTTACGTTCCCTGGTTGTCATTGGTTTAAACGCACTTTTCAAAACTGTAAGCCTACGTATTTAAGAGGCGGGACCTCCGAAAATAGCGTCTATCTCCGCTAGGGCCAAGACAAATGAGTGGAGAGCCATAAAAACTCCCCAAAACCACCCGAGTTCAGAAACACTCGTAGAGGGTTCGAACCATGGCCATCCACTCTATAGTCCAGCAGATACCAACTGAGCTAACGGCACGCCCTTTATTGCCGGTTATGTGTTTCTGGATCCGATAGACGGACGAACAAAATCTTCCGAACAATAAATGTATAAACTAACAACCTATTCAATCCACCAACAGCACAATAATGAGTTTTTGCTGTAACAGATTCAGCACGGGGGCTTTTGTGGCTTAGAGGTTAAGGTGTTCGCCTCTCATTCAAAGGTCCAGGGCTCGAATCTGGGTAGCGATGGAATCATTTTCTTCTCTAAAATTGTCTCCTTTCACCTCCTTTCATGCTATGTAGCAATGTTCTGTCATCTGCTTTCATCTGCACTTTCTGTCCCCACCACTTCACCTCCTTTGCCCCCTCCTCTGGGCTCCTGACTCTTTCTGCAGCCTTTTTACTTCTTCTCCTTGGCCCCTTCTTTCTGCTGTCTTTCAGCCACACCCCTGATCTTCTGGTAGGAAAGATCTACACCTAGCCTTCTCGGACAAGAGCGAAAAAATCTTGGAGGTCCCATTTGCAAGTTGCGCACGTCAAAGATCCCTTGGTGGTCTCAAATCGATAGGAGTAGGTTTCGGTCGCCACCCTGGCAAGATTCAAAATTTTCCTACCAACTGAAAATGTTTTGTGTGTCCCCAGTGTTCATATGACCTTATGCAGTTAGTTGCGAGCGTCGTAAAACACTTACCAAAAACAACAGCAACAAAAGATTCAGTACGAATTATCTGGGGCGTGGAAATGAATGGACGAGTCAGCAAATGAATAATTGGATGAAGGAGGAAGTATGCGTTGCGAGGATATGTTAATGAAAATATATCTGTGGTCTTGCGGTCTCCGTGTTGAAGCATGTACTCAGTGGCCTTTAGATGTTGTTTTATATCCGGGTCTGATCTCTCTTGTATCCTTCTGAACTCCTTTTAAAAAATCTTTTTTAGTAGGTTTTTTTTGGAAGACTTTTGAATTCCGCTGTAATAACTTTCACGTGGACCGCACGGTGTGTAGTACACACACACGCTCGCGCGAGTACTTACATGCAACACACACACACACACACACACACACACACACACACACACACACACACACACATACACATTCACACTCACACACATGTATGCAATGCGCATGGGCGCGCGCGAACACACACACTCACACATACACTACAATACATGTACACATCATACACATACATACACGCGCGAGCTCTCGCACGCGTATTATATATCCCCTCCTCCGCACATACCTCTGTCACCTACAAGTTATACGTTATAAGCACACACACGCGTGCACTCATATACACTACACTAACACGCACTCACACACACACACACACTCACACACTCACACACACACTCACACACACACACACACACACTCACACACACACATTTTAATACAAAGGTCCTCACACACTAAACGCCACGCACACAGACCGATTCTGCACTTCCACCTCCCAACCACAGCACACACCCACAAAGTTAACAATGTTATTATATGACAGTGTATTATTTTGTAG